TAGATATTATCATTTTTATATTATAATATTTAAACATATATTAAATAATTACAATTAATAAAAAAATAAAAATTCTGGTCTAACACGTTAAATGTGTTAAATATTCTGTGGAAGAAATTCTATATTTCTATAATTATTTAAAGATTGACGATTTTTGGCAATTGTAATATATCTTATTTATAAAATAAATATTGAACATAATCTTCTTTATATTTAATAAATTTATCCTTAATCTTCTAAACAAAAAAAATGAATTAATTCGTCATTTGAATTGCCATTTTTTATCGTTGGATTTAATAATTTTTTATTTTTCTAGATTTTCTATTTTTTTTTGAAGTATTATATAATTTCTGTTAAATATATTTTATTATATATTAAATATATATATTTATATTTATAAATATATATTCATAATAATCTAACTGGAATTGATTTATCTAGAGTAACTTTTAATTCCTTAATTATTGAGGAATGATTAAAGAATAAAATAACTAAGAATAAGAATAATAAAGAAGTTAAATTTCTCAAAAGCGCAATCATTCTATAATACTATTATCCAAAAATTTTTCATATTATAAATATTTTTTTTCTCAAATCTAATAGCTGAAAGTTGTAAAAGTTTTATCTAATCATTATAAAACAATCTTTGATTCTTCTAGAATCCAAACGAATCATTTCAAAGTGTTTTTTTTTATTTTTCAATCAAAAAAATTATTTAATATAGAAATAAAAGAAAAAAAAATCGCGCATTTCCCTTTATTCAATTTTCATCCTCTACTTCCTCTATCTATTTCTCTTCAACATTCTGCACGAGTGTTGCATTCGATTTAAATGAATTTGCATAGATTTTCCATTTATTCGTCTGACCGGTCGTTTATTGCATATTTATCGAAAGCAGCAACGAACTAATGCAATAAATTTTAATAAGCTTATAGGAATACGCATCATACCTTGACTTTAATATTTATATAAACATATAAAGACGATAAGTGCGGATGGCCTGATCCGATCGTTCAGAAAATCAAAAAATGCAACTGTCTAGAGATAAATGAAAAATTACGGAATTTAGGCTGGTTGCAGACATGAAGACGCAAACATTATCGAAAAAAGATCTAAGTAATTGATTTACGATTGAAACTCAGTTGAAGTCAAAGTCAAATTGTTAGAATTGCATTTCTGGTCGCTTATTATCTTTTTGTTCGTTTCTTTTTTTTTCTTTTTTTTTATTTGTTCGAGAAAATCAATGTCTTTGCTTTTAAGCCATTACTGCTAAGAATGAAAGAGTCTGACTCGACGGAATTTCATTGATGATTTTAAAAGTTAGCAACAAATATCTTTCATTGGCTGTTTTTTTGCGTTGATGCGGTGAAATGGAATTAAGCGATATTGATTTAGCGTTATTATTTATGAACTATATAAAATAATTTGAATATGTAATGATTTAGTTTGAGTGATTTAGGATTAACTGGATAATTCTATTGTTCTTTTTTCTTTTAAATTATTAAATTATTAAAGAATGAAAATTATAATATATAAAATTATAATATATAAAATTAATTTATTATATAAAATTAAAATAATCAGAAAATAATAAAAATTATATAGATGAATATGTATTTGATTTGAATTTATTTAAAAGAAAAATAACATTCTAAAGCAATATAAATTTTAATATTTTAATATTTGGGAATATGCATTTGTTAATAATATTATTTACAATTAAATCTTTTTTATTAACGAATTATATCTTTTTTAAAAATTTAATTTTATTCAATTTTATTTTATATATAGAAAACTTTAGTTAAAAATTTTATATAAAAAAATTTTGTAATAAAAAAATAAAATTCCTCTTTTCTAAACTTTTTATATTGGATCGATATTTTACAATTAATTAATTTATAATATATGTATTAAATTTATGAAAAAATTATATTCGTTTTTAATTATAATAAAATAAATAATAAAAATTTCAAACAATTTCGTCTTATTAAAATGGTATTTTATTAATAAAATATTGTATCTTCATTTAAACTTAGAAATTAATTTAGATTAAACAATTATAATAATCGATGAATGTGATACCAATTTGTCTTATGATTTTCAAGTAATTTTGTACATAAATATTAAATATTGAAAATTCATAATGTATTACAGAGTAGAGATTTGAAATCTTTGATATATGTTAATATTTGCTGTAATATCAAGCTACCAATATCATTGTATTAGTAAATAATATCAAAAATATCGGAATTATTCGAATAAATATTTAATCTTATATTTAATGAAATAAAAAAATAAATAATTGAATCGAGACATACATTGTATATATTATATTTACTAACCTAAAAAAACAAGAATATAGAATAAAAATATTACATTAGTAAAAAAAAATAATAAAAATAATAGTACATAGTAATAATAATATTTTAAAATAGTAATTAAAATAAATTGCAAATATATGAATATTATCTTTCAAGTTATGAAAATATTTTGATTAAGATTGAATTTAAAAGATTCGAAATGATCAAATAAATATCGTTTCTTTTCACAATTAGAAAACGATTTATTCTTGTAATGCCATGTTTTTTTATTTAATATAAATATTTAATATAATTGATATTGATAATAATTGAAAAAAATCATTCATTACTACATTGTATAAAACGTTTCTGTTTTCACTTACTATTATTATATAAATTTAAGAAATTTAAGATAATAAATATAAACTATCCTTAAAAAAAATTGTCTCATACTTTCGAAAATTAAACATATATTTGTATAAACATATTATTAAATATAATTTACAAAAATCGATATCGAATTACAAGATAAATTTTGAAATTTAATCTGAGAACTCTTATCATTTAAATTTCAATAATAAAATTATATTTTATTTATAAATAAATTATATATATATTTTATAAATAAATTATGCTTGATATGATAATGTCAAGCTATGATATGCTTAAATAAAAAAAAATTTATATCTTAATATATTATATAAAAATTTTGTAATATTTACAATTTAGATAAATTTAAATAATATCAAAAAGATATAGTGTATATAGATATATAATGTATAATAAATACACTATATGAATATATTATTAATTATTTTTGTTTTAATTATTTTAATTATTTTTTTATTAAATTAATTTACACAAAATCGGAATTTATTATTATCATTTTTAATTATATTTCATATATATCTATTGTTATATATGATTTATGTTTTTCTTATGTTTTTGTTTATTTTTTAAACTTTATATTTATTTAATTCTTAAAAATGATTAATAATTTTTATATAATAAATGTT